GGCTGCGGCTGCATTTGCCCCCGCGAGAGCCGTGAAGCTGCATGTGTGAGTCTTAGTGTAGAAGGGTGCAGCAAAGAAGAGAAGCGAAAAGGTGGTGTTGTTAAAGAAAGCCATGTGAGCCTGGCCGTGGGGTGAAAGAAGTTGCAATGTTCAAGCTAGCCCTTTGAGCAGTGAGTTGCAACAGCAGCAAATGAAGAAACTGTGAAGGAGGTGCCTGGCTGTTGAAGAACAGAATAAGAGGAAGTTAAAGGAGCCTAGTCCTTGCCTACGGCCATACCACCCTGAACACGCCCGATCTCGTCTGATCTCGGAAGCTAAGCAGGGTCGGGCCTGGTTAGTACTTGGATGGGAGACCGCCTGGGAATACCAGGTGTTGTAGGCTTTTGCTTTTTCAATCTCCTACCAGCAGAGGGCGATCTACGCTATGCAATTTCCCATTCACTCATTCGGAGGATTTTTTTTTTTTTATAACAAACATTTCTTTTCTGGCTTTACGTTTCAGTGTGGCATTTTTCTCTCTCTCTCTTTCTTTTTCTTTTTCCTTCTCTCGTGTTTCTGTACACGAGTAACGAGGCAACAACACAATGTCTTTGAGTGATACAGGATAGAGAAAAGTGGGCAAGCCCAAGTCACTGCTACGGTGGTAAAGTGTCGATCACAGCAAAAGCAAAAACCAAAATCAACGCGGTTGGTGATAGGATATGACGCGGTCCGAGAGAAAATTAGCATTTAAAAAACAGAAAAAGAAAAATGTACAGATATTTCACTTCCATCTATCCACACATACATTCCAGGATGGCAGTCAGAAGTGACATTTAAGTGCAAGCCATAAGCAAGGCTTTCTATACTCCACTACTACGCAGTGCCGGGGCAGCATGTAACGACCAGCAGCCTCTAAAGCACATGCTAGGACCGTAAGGCAGGGCATACGGGAGATGTATTTGCGCCAGCAGCTGAGCAATCCAAAAAGAAAGGCCTTGCTTGCAAGTGTATGCGCGCCATCAAGCAGCGAGCCCTAAGCACTTTTAGCCCGCATTACGTAATGCGCGCCGACAAGACTGCTTCCTAACAGTACTGGAGGCAACAGGGCTTCGCTTGCTTTCCCCCTAAAAGACCTAGGAAGCTACAAGTTGGCAGGCCCAGGCTTGGCCTGCAGGAAAGAGGCGAAAAGAAAAGGGGGCGCCTAAAAGGCCGCTGCGACTGCAGACTGAGCCAGAAGGACGTGACAGGCTAAAAGACACATGCTCCAGCAGTGAACAAAAGCAACCAGCAGCAGCAGCAGCAACAAAGGCGGCATCGGGTGGAAGGAGACTGTGCGCAGGACAACGGGAGGTAAAAGAAGCCCTGCTGTGGCCTACGCTATACTACCTTCAGCACGCCCGATCTCGTCTGATCTCGGAAGTTAAGCAGGGTTGGGCCTGGATAGTACCTGTTATGGGAGACCGTCTCGGAATACCAGGTGTTGTAGGCATTTGAACACTTTTCGCGCTCTCACGGCATCGTAGACATTGGGGCAGTAAGGGGGGTCACTCAGAGGAGGCTTGTGCTCTTTTGCTGAAGAGGAAGAGGAGAGGGACAGAAAGATTGGGATCCCGAACGGCAGCGTGGGCATGGTTCACTCTACACCCCAAAGCGCTGGAATGAAAAGCCCGCTGCTAGCTGTAGGCTAAAGTAGCCAAGTGGTGTGCACAGCCGAGTAGTGGAGCAACGTTTCCAAACCAGCAGTTGTCGCCTATCTTTAGCAAATGGCTTTTCAAAGCGCTACCATCCCCTGTGTTGCCAACAAACCCCTGTGACAACAGACAGCAGCTTGTCAGTCCGAAGCAGAGAGAGGAGCAAGGATCCTAGGCAGACGCCACGTGCCAATTTATGGTTCAAGCAAGAGTTATTGCACTGCGCTGTTGCTTAGAAGTGCGGCACGGCGCAGTCACAAGCTTTCTCTGAGACAGAGGTTAGGATTGCATGTCAGAACAGATCTAGGACACCCCTAAGTGCCAGCAGCTGCCATGTGGAAAGGAAGGAATGACTTAGGAGTGTAGGGATAGAATGAATAAGTAGGCGTCAAGCGCATATGTTAGAAGCGCGCGTCCAGTCATGCGGAATAAGAGTGTTCCCTGTTAGTAGTGGATGCAAGAGGGCTGCGGCTGCATTTGCCCCGCGAGAGCCGTGAAGCTGCATGTGTGAGTATTAGTGTAGTAGGGTGCAGCAAAGAAGAGAAGCGAAAAGGTGGTGTTGTTAAAGAAAGCCATGTGAGCCTGGCCGTGGGGTGAAAGAAGTTGCAATGTTCAAGCTAGCCCTTTGAGCAGTGAGTTGCAACAGCAGCAAATGAAGAAACTGTGAAGGAGGTGCCTGGCTGTTGAAGAACAGAATAAGAGGAGGTTAAAGGAGCCTAGTCCTTGCCTACGGCCATACCACCCTGAACACGCCCGATCTCGTCTGATCTCGGAAGCTAAGCAGGGTCGGGCCTGGTTAGTACTTGGATGGGAGACCGCCTGGGAATACCAGGTGTTGTAGGCTTTTGCTTTTTCAATCTCCTACCAGCAGAGGGCGATCTACGCTATGCAATTTCACATTCACTCATTCGGAGGATTTTTTTTTTTTTATAACAAACATTTCTTTTCTGGCTTTACGTTTCAGTGTGGCATTTTTCTCTCTCTCTCTTTCTTTCTTTTTCTTTTTCCTTCTCTCGTGTTTCTGGACACGAGTAACGAGGCAACAACACAATGTCTTTGAGTGATACAGGATAGAGAAAAGTGGGCAAGCCCAAGTCACTGCTACGGTGGTAAAGTGTCGATCACAGCAAAAGCAAAAACCAAAATCAACGCGGTTGGTGATAGGATATGACGCGGTCCGAGAGAAAATTAGCATTTAAAAAACAGAAAAAGAGAAATGTGCAGATATTTCACTTCCATCTATCCACACATACATTCCAGGATGGCAGTCAGAAGTGACATTTAAGTGCAAGCCATAAGCAAGGCTTTCTATACTCCACTACTACGCAGTGCCGGGGCAGCATGTAACGACCAGCAGCCTCTAAAGCACATGCTAGGACCGTAAGGCAGGGCAGACGGGAGACGTATTTGCGCCAGCAGCTGAGCAATCCAAAAAGAAAGGCCTTGCTTGCAAGTGTATGCGCGCCATCAAGCAGCGAGCCCTAAGCACTTTTAGCCCGCATTACGTAATGCGCGCCGACAAGACTGCTTCCTAACAGTACTGGAGGCAACAGGGCTTCGCTTGCTTTCCCCCTAAAAGACCTAGGAAGCTACAAGTTGGCAGGCCCAGGCTCGGCCTGCAGGAAAGAGGCGAAAAGAAAAGGGGGCGCCTAAAAGGCCGCTGCGACTGCAGACTGAGCCAGAATGACGTGACAGGCTAAAAGACACATGCTCCAGCAGTGAACAAAAGCAACCAGCAGCAGCAGCAACAAAGGCGGCATCGGGTGGAAGGAGCCTGTGCGCAGGACAACGGGAGGTAAAAGAAGCCCTGCTGTGGCCTACGCTATACTACCTTCAGCACGCCCGATCTCGTCTGATCTCGGAAGCTAAGCAGGGTTGGGCCTGGTTAGTACCTGTTATGGGAGACCGTCTCGGAATACCAGGTGTTGTAGGCATTTGAACACTTTTCGCGCTCTCACGGCATCGTAGACATTGGGGCAGTAAGGGGGTCACTCAGAGGAGGCTTGTGCTCTTTTGCTGAAGAGGAAGAGGAGAGGGACAGAAAGATTGGGATCCCGAACGGCAGCGTGGGCATGGTTCACTCTACACCCCAAAGCGCTGGAATGAAAAGCCCGCTGCTAGCTGTAGGCTAAAGTAGCCAAGTGGTGTGCACAGCCGAGTAGTGGAGCAACGTTTCCAAACCAGCAGTTGTCGCCTATCTTTAGCAAATGGCTTTTCAAAGCGCTACCATCCCCTGTGTTGCCAACAAACCCCTGTGACAACAGACAGCAGCTTGTCAGTCCGAAGCAGAGAGAGGAGCAAGGATCCTAGGCAGACGCCACGTGCCAATTTATGGTTCAAGCAAGAGTTATTGCACTGCGCTGTTGCTTAGAAGTGCGGCACGGCGCAGTCACAAGCTTTCTCTGAGACAGAGGTTAGGATTGCATGTCAGAACAGATCTAGGACACCCCTAAGTGCCAGCAGCTGCCATGTGGAAAGGAAGGACGTGACTTAGGAGTGTAGGGATAGAATGAATAAGTAGGCGTCAAGCGCATATGTTAGAAGCGCGCGTCCAGTCATGCGGAATAAGAGTGTTCCCTGTTAGTAGTGGATGCAAGAGGGCTGCGGCTGCGGCTGCATTTGCCCCCGCGAGAGCCGTGAAGCTGCATGTGTGAGTATTAGTGTAGTAGGGTGCAGCAAAGAAGAGAAGCGAAAAGGTGGTGTTGTTAAAGAAAGCCATGTGAGCCTGGCCGTGGGGTGAAAGAAGTTGCAATGTTCAAGCTAGCCCTTTGAGCAGTGAGTTGCAACAGCAGCAAATGAAGAAACTGTGAAGGAGGTGCCAGGCTGTTGAAGAACAGAATAAGAGGAGCTTAAAGGAGCCTAGTCCTTGCCTACGGCCATACCACCCTGAACACGCACGATCTCGTCTGATCTCGGAAGCTAAGCAGGGTCGGGCCTGGTTAGTACTTGGATGGGAGACCGCCTGGGAATACCAGGTGTTGTAGGCTTTTGCTTTTTCAATCTCCTACCAGCAGAGGGCGATCTACGCTATGCAATTTCACATTCACTCATTCGGAGGATTTTTTTTTTTTTATAACAAACATTTCTTTTCTGGCTTTACGTTTCAGTGTGGCATTTTTCTCTCTCTCTCTTTCTTTTTCTTTTTCCTTCTCTCGTGTTTCTGGACACGAGTAACGAGGCAACAACACAATGTCTTTGAGTGATACAGGATAGAGAAAAGTGGGCAAGCACAAGTCACTGCTACGGTGGTAAAGTGTCGATCACAGCAAAAGCAAAAACCAAAATCAACGCGGTTGGTGATAGGATATGACGCGGTCCGAGAGAAAATTTGCATTTAAAAAACAGAAAAAGAGAAATGTACAGATATTTCACTTCCATCTATCCACACATACATTCCAGGATGGCAGTCAGAAGTGACATTTAAGTGCAAGCCATAAGCAAGGCTTTCTATACTCCACTACTACGCAGTGCCGGGGCAGCATGTAACGACCAGCAGCCTCTAAAGCACATGCTAGGACCGTAAGGCAGGGCAGACGGGAGACGTATTTGCGCCAGCAGCTGAGCAATCCAAAAAGAAAGGCCTTGCTTGCAAGTGTATGCGCGCCATCAAGCAGCGAGCCCTAAGCACTTTTAGCCCGCATTACGTAATGCGCGCCGACAAGACTGCTTCCTAACAGTACTGGAGGCAACAGGGCTTCGCTTGCTTTCCCCCTAAAAGACCTAGGAAGCTACAAGTTGGCAGGCCCAGGCTCGGCCTGCAGGAAAGAGGCGAAAAGAAAAGGGGGCGCCTAAAAGGCCGCTGCGACTGCAGACTGAGCCAGAAGGACGTGACAGGCTAAAAGACACATGCTCCAGCAGTGAACAAAAGCAACCAGCAGCAGCAGCAACAAAGGCGGCATCGGGTGGAAGGAGCCTGTGCGCAGGACAACGGGAGGTAAAAGAAGCCCTGCTGTGGCCTACGCCATACTACCTTCAGCACGCCCGATCTCGTCTGATCTCGGAAGTTAAGCAGGGTTGGGCCTGGATAGTACCTGTTATGGGAGACCGTCTCGGAATACCAGGTGTTGTAGGCATTTGAACACTTTTCGCGCTCTCACGGCATCGTAGACATTGGGGCAGTAAGGGGGGTCACTCAGAGGAGGCTTGTGCTCTTTTGCTGAAGAGGAAGAGGAGAGGGACAGAAAGATTGGGATCCCGAACGGCAGCGTGGGCATGGTTCACTCTACACCCCAAAGCGCTGGAATGAAAAGCCCGCTGCTAGCTGTAGGCTAAAGTAGCCAAGTGGTGTGCACAGCCGAGTAGTGGAGCAACGTTTCCAAACCAGCAGTTGTCGCCTATCTTTAGCAAATGGCTTTTCAAAGCGCTACCATCCCCTGTGTTGCCAACAAACCCCTGTGACAACAGACAGCAGCTTGTCAGTCCGAAGCAGAGAGAGGAGCAAGGATCCTAGGCAGACGCCACGTGCCAATTTATGGTTCAAGCAAGAGTTATTGCACTGCGCTGTTGCTTAGAAGTGCGGCACGGCGCAGTCACAAGCTTTCTCTGAGACAGAGGTTAGGATTGCATGTCAGAACAGATCTAGGACACCCCTAAGTGCCAGCAGCTGCCATGTGGAAAGGAAGGACGTGACTTAGGAGTGTAGGGATAGAATGAATAAGTAGGCGTCAAGCGCATATGTTAGAAGCGCGCGTCCAGTCATGCGGAATAAGAGTGTTCCCTGTTAGTAGTGGATGCAAGAGGGCTGCGGCTGCATTTGCCCCGCGAGAGCCGTGAAGCTGCATGTGTGAGTATTAGTGTAGTAGGGTGCAGCAAAGAAGAGAAGCGAAAAGGTGGTGTTGTTAAAGAAAGCCATGTGAGCCTGGCCGTGGGGTGAAAGAAGTTGCAATGTTCAAGCTAGCCCTTTGAGCAGTGAGTTGCAACAGCAGCAAATGAAGAAACTGTGAAGGAGGTGCCTGGCTGTTGAAGAACAGAATAAGAGGAGGTTAAAGGAGCCTAGTCCTTGCCTACGGCCATACCACCCTGAACACGCCCGATCTCGTCTGATCTCGGAAGCTAAGCAGGGTCGGGCCTGGTTAGTACTTGGATGGGAGACCGCCTGGGAATACCAGGTGTTGTAGGCTTTTGCTTTTTCAATCTCCTACCAGCAGAGGGCGATCTACGCTATGCAATTTCACATTCACTCATTCGGAGGATTTTTTTTTTTTTATAACAAACATTTCTTTTCTGGCTTTACGTTTCAGTGTGGCATTTTTCTCTCTCTCTCTTTCTTTTTCTTTTTCCTTCTCTCGTGTTTCTGGACACGAGTAACGAGGCAACAACACAATGTCTTTGAGTGATACAGGATAGAGAAAAGTGGGCAAGCACAAGTCACTGCTACGGTGGTAAAGTGTCGATCACAGCAAAAGCAAAAACCAAAATCAACGCGGTTGGTGATAGGATATGACGCGGTCCGAGAGAAAATTAGCATTTAAAAAACAGAAAAAGAGAAATGTACAGATATTTCACTTCCATCTATCCACACATACATTCCAGGATGGCAGTCAGAAGTGACATTTAAGTGCAAGCCATAAGCAAGGCTTTCTATACTCCACTACTACGCAGTGCCGGGGCAGCATGTAACGACCAGCAGCCTCTAAAGCACATGCTAGGACCGTAAGGCAGGGCAGACGGGAGACGTATTTGCGCCAGCAGCTGAGCAATCCAAAAAGAAAGGCCTTGCTTGCAAGTGTATGTGCGCCATCAAGCAGCGAGCCCTAAGCACTTTTAGCCCGCATTACGTAATGCGCGCCGACAAGACTGCTTCCTAACAGTACTGGAGGCAACAGGGCTTCGCTTGCTTTCCCCCTAAAAGACCTAGGAAGCTACAAGTTGGCAGGCCCAGGCTCGGCCTGCAGGAAAGAGGCGAAAAGAAAAGGGGGCGCCTAAAAGGCCGCTGCGACTGCAGACTGAGCCAGAAGGACGTGACAGGCTAAAAGACACATGCTCCAGCAGTGAACAAAAGCAACCAGCAGCAGCAGCAACAAAGGCGGCATCGGGTGGAAGGAGCCTGTGCGCAGGACAACGGGAGGTAAAAGAAGCCCTGCTGTGGCCTACGCCATACTACCTTCAGCACGCCCGATCTCGTCTGATCTCGGAAGCTAAGCAGGGTTGGGCCTGGTTAGTACCTGTTATGGGAGACCGTCTCGGAATACCAGGTGTTGTAGGCATTTGAACACTTTTCGCGCTCTCACGGCATCGTAGACATTGGGGCAGTAAGGGGGGTCACTCAGAGGAGGCTTGTGCTCTTTTGCTGAAGAGGAAGAGGAGAGGGACAGAAAGATTGGGATCCCGAACGGCAGCGTGGGCATGGTTCACTCTACACCCCAAAGCGCTGGAATGAAAAGCCCGCTGCTAGCTGTAGGCTAAAGTAGCCAAGTGGTGTGCACAGCCGAGTAGTGGAGCAACGTTTCCAAACCAGCAGTTGTCGCCTATCTTTAGCAAATGGCTTTTCAAAGCGCTACCATCCCCTGTGTTGCCAACAAACCCCTGTGACAACAGACAGCAGCTTGTCAGTCCGAAGCAGAGAGAGGAGCAAGGATCCTAGGCAGACGCCACGTGCCAATTTATGGTTCAAGCAAGAGTTATTGCACTGCGCTGTTGCTTAGAAGTGCGGCACGGCGCAGTCACAAGCTTTCTCTGAGACAGAGGTTAGGATTGCATGTCAGAACAGATCTAGGACACCCCTAAGTGCCAGCAGCTGCCATGTGGAAAGGAAGGACGTGACTTAGGAGTGTAGGGATAGAATGAATAAGTAGGCGTCAAGCGCATATGTTAGAAGCGCGCGTCCAGTCATGCGGAATAAGAGTGTTCCCTGTTAGTAGTGGATGCAAGAGGGCTGCGGCTGCGGCTGCATTTGCCCCCGCGAGAGCCGTGAAGCTGCATGTGTGAGTATTAGTGTAGTAGGGTGCAGCAAAGAAGAGAAGCGAAAAGGTGGTGTTGTTAAAGAAAGCCATGTGAGCCTGGCCGTGGGGTGAAAGAAGTTGCAATGTTCAAGCTAGCCCTTTGAGCAGTGAGTTGCAACAGCAGCAAATGAAGAAACTGTGAAGGAGGTGCCTGGCTGTTGAAGAACAGAATAAGAGGAGGTTAAAGGAGCCTAGTCCTTGCCTACGGCCATACCACCCTGAACACGCCCGATCTCGTCTGATCTCGGAAGCTAAGCAGGGTCGGGCCTGGTTAGTACTTGGATGGGAGACCGCCTGGGAATACCAGGTGTTGTAGGCTTTTGCTTTTTCAATCTCCTACCAGCAGAGGGCGATCTACGCTATGCAATTTCACATTCACTCATTCGGAGGATTTTTTTTTTTTTATAACAAACATTTCTTTTCTGGCTTTACGTTTCAGTGTGGCATTTTTCTCTCTCTCTCTTTCTTTTTCTTTTTCCTTCTCTCGTGTTTCTGGACACGAGTAACGAGGCAACAACACAATGTCTTTGAGTGATACAGGATAGAGAAAAGTGGGCAAGCACAAGTCACTGCTACGGTGGTAAAGTGTCGATCACAGCAAAAGCAAAAACCAAAATCAACGCGGTTGGTGATAGGATATGACGCGGTCCGAGAGAAAATTAGCATTTAAAAAACAGAAAAAGAGAAATGTACAGATATTTCACTTCCATCTATCCACACATACATTCCAGGATGGCAGTCAGAAGTGACATTTAAGTGCAAGCCATAAGCAAGGCTTTCTATACTCCACTACTACGCAGTGCCGGGGCAGCATGTAACGACCAGCAGCCTCTAAAGCACATGCTAGGACCGTAAGGCAGGGCAGACGGGAGACGTATTTGCGCCAGCAGCTGAGCAATCCAAAAAGAAAGGCCTTGCTTGCAAGTGTATGCGCGCCATCAAGCAGCGAGCCCTAAGCACTTTTAGCCCGCATTACGTAATGCGCGCCGACAAGACTGCTTCCTAACAGTACTGGAGGCAACAGGGCTTCGCTTGCTTTCCCCCTAAAAGACCTAGGAAGCTACAAGTTGGCAGGCCCAGGCTCGGCCTGCAGGAAAGAGGCGAAAAGAAAAGGGGGCGCCTAAAAGGCCGCTGCGACTGCAGACTGAGCCAGAAGGACGTGACAGGCTAAAAGACACATGCTCCAGCAGTGAACAAAAGCAACCAGCAGCAGCAGCAACAAAGGCGGCATCGGGTGGAAGGAGCCTGTGCGCAGGACAACGGGAGGTAAAAGAAGCCCTGCTGTGGCCTACGCCATACTACCTTCAGCACGCCCGATCTCGTCTGATCTCGGAAGCTAAGCAGGGTTGGGCCTGGTTAGTACCTGTTATGGGAGACCGTCTCGGAATACCAGGTGTTGTAGGCATTTGAACACTTTTCGCGCTCTCACGGCATCGTAGACATTGGGGCAGTAAGGGGGGTCACTCAGAGGAGGCTTGTGCTCTTTTGCTGAAGAGGAGAGGGACAGAAAGATTGGGATCCCGAACGGCAGCGTGGGCATGGTTCACTCTACACCCCAAAGCGCTGGAATGAAAAGCCCGCTGCTAGCTGTAGGCTAAAGTAGCCAAGTGGTGTGCACAGCCGAGTAGTGGAGCAACGTTTCCAAACCAGCAGTTGTCGCCTATCTTTAGCAAATGGCTTTTCAAAGCGCTACCATCCCCTGTGTTGCCAACAAACCCCTGTGACAACAGACAGCAGCTTGTCAGTCCGAAGCAGAGAGAGGAGCAAGGATCCTAGGCAGACGCCACGTGCCAATTTATGGTTCAAGCAAGAGTTATTGCACTGCGCTGATGCTTAGAAGTGCGGCACGGCGCAGTGGATGCAAGAGGGCTGCGGCTGCATTTGCCCCCGCGAGAGCCGCGAAGCTGCGCGTGTGAGTATTAGTGTAGTAGGGTGCAGCAAAGAAGAGAAGCTAAAAGGTGGTGTTGTTAAAGAAAGCCACGTGAGCCTGGCCGTGGGGTGAAAGAAGTTGCAATGTTCAAGCTAGCCCTTTGAGCAGTGAGTTGCAACAGCAGCAAATGAAACTGTGAGGGAGGTGCCTGGCTGTTGAAGAACAGAATAAGAGGAGGTTAAAGGAGCCTAGTTCCTGCCTACGGCCATACCACCCTGAACACACCCGATCTCGGAAGCTAAGCAGGGTCGGGCCTGGTTAGTACTTGGTTGGGGGACCGCCTGGGAATACCAGGTGTTGTATGCTTTGGCTTTTTCAGTCTCCTACCAGCAGAGGGCGATCTACGCTATGCAATTTCACAAAAAAATTGCATTTAAAAAACAAAAAAAGAGAAATATACAGATATTTCACTTCCATCTATCCACACATACATTCCAGGATGGCAGTCAGAAGTGACATTTAAGTGCAAGCTGAAGTGGTCTGTGGGTCTTTAAGTGGCTAGGTTTGCCACAGGCCCACACACAGCATCATAGAGAAAACTCCTGGCAGAGTGTTTGGTCTCAGGAGGACTTACTCTCGTGCTGCTCTTCCTCACAAAGGAATTTGAAAAGGAAAAAAAAATTTAAAATGAATACCTGAGACTGGAGTGATTCTGGTCAGTTCTGCAGAAGTGGAACTGCAAACTTTAGGCACATGTAGAAAGGGAGTCATAAGTAGTTCTGTGTTGGCCGCCTGGCACCCTGCGCAGCCGCACAGCTCGCACACTCCTTAGGCTAGAGAGAAAGATATACACACACACGGGTACATGTTAGTAGTCACATTTTTTGCACAGCTACATTCAGGGAAACATTTACCCATTAACAACATATCACATGTCAAAGTGATCATGTAATATATATGATTTCATGCCTATCTGGCTTTGCTACGTGGGCAAAACATATTTAAAGAGACACTATAGGCACCCGGACCACTTCAGCTTATTGTTTTGTTTTACTTTTCCTATAAAACATTGCAGCACTAAGTCTGCCTCCTGTGGCTGTCTGCCAGACAGCTACTGGTGGCGCTTCCTGGATTGAAACTGGCCCTCGGCCCGTTATCTGACGCTGGTCATCCTCACACTCTGCATGAGAACATCCAGCATCACTTATTTCCTTATAGGAAAGCATTGCTTCAATCACAGACTTCCCAATACAGTTTAATGAAAAGTCTTTGCAAGGCAGGTGATCTGGGCAATTGGTGCCTCTTGAGTTTAGCTCCACTGAGATAACCAAACCAGGAAGTAACAGGACACCTAAATGCAAAATGTGATGTATGGGCTGTTGATGCACTTCCTTTTTGTTGGTTCTCCACTTCCTGTTCGCAGTTGGTGGAATGTTCTAGTGGTTTGAAATGGCGGCTGCAGAAATCCTTTGTAACAAGGCAGCAATATTAAAGGGACACTGTAGGCACCCAGACCACTTCTGCCCAGTTTTATAAACTGCAATAATTACCTTTCAGGGTTAATTCCACCTCTAGTGGCTGTCTAGTAGACAGCCACTAGAGGGCACTTCCGTGTCTATAGCACAGGAAAACTGTGCTAGAGCGTCGCTGGACGCCCTCACGCTCTGTGAGGACCTCCAGCTTCGGTCAATTCCCCATAGGGAATTTTCAATGCTTTCCTATGGAGAGCTCTAATGCGCATGCGCGGCATTGCTGCGCTTGCGCATTCGGTCTCCTCAGCCGTAGCACAGGATCAGTTTTGTCCACCGGCCAACGTAATCACTGGGAGGAGCAGCGGTGAGCAGAAACCACCGCCGAGGGACATCGGAGGGAAAGGGGATTGTTTTCCTGGCACTGGAGTTTCCACTTAAGATTCTGTTGTATATTTATCAATAAAAGTCGTACTTCAATATACGGGAATAATTGACTGGTTTGTTTCAAACATAACACAAACTTTTAGTGGCTCTTGCTTGGACAGCCACTAAAGGAACTTCCTAGATGCAAAGCTGCACAACTTGCAGTTGGGTGAGTGAACTGAATGTCTTGCTTACATTCTGTGCTGCAAAGCTGATGTTTAAGATTTGAAAACTGCATATGTCACTGCAGAAGTGTTTTGGTTTTTTTTTCCTTTTCTTTTCTTCTAAAGAATTGTAAATAAGCGCCCTTAATGTCACTGAGCTCCTGCCAGAAAATGGAGATTTTCAGTAATAGAACACATCATTGCTACCTTCCATCACGCATTCACCTTTTCCTAAAAAGTTTAGACCCCCATTTCTGGATTTTTACCCCTACTTCGTCAAGGTTGGCTCAACCTTTGACACCATTATTTTTGCAACTTCTTTCACGCATGGGCAGGCTCACGTGGCTTTTTGAACACTACCTTTTCATTTCTCTTCTTTACTGCACTATACTGCATATATACACCTCCCTCCTATAAACATTATACCTCTATATATCCACACATTTAACTTCTATACACAAATACAATAAACACCTATTCACACACTACCCGTATACACACAAAGCTCTCATACTACAGTCCCTAAAGAGACACACAATGAAACCACCATTATACACATATACAAACACACAGCCTCTCTCTCGACACACACTCTACAAAATCGCTAAACGCAACCTCTACAACGGACAGGTTACTCACCTCTAGGTGCATTTACTTGAAAAAGAGGGCCTGCATTGCATGATATCCTGACACTATTTTCCAGGACTGTATATCTGCACCTTCATGTGTTAGCATTTACTTTGACAATTCTTGTTACCACTTTAGTTAGTTTACTGCCGTTTTATTTAATAGTTATTGCACCTACAAGTTTAATAACGGAATAAAAAAATTTTAATTAAGCCCTCTAATCTTTGTTTTGTGGTTAATAAGAAGACTAGGGGGTTTTAAATGGTGAGAGGTATAGGAAAAGGTGGTGTGACCAGGGATAAGCGATGTGAAGATATTTCGTACAGGGCACATATGGGTGTAAGCCTGGGTGTGCGTGTGCATGTGTGTAGTATAGGAACCGGGAACATTTGTTAATAAATGAAATAATTACCCTGGTGCAACTACCAGCTAGCTAGGAAAACGTTAACTGCTTTATTTCATTAAAAAAAAGCAAGCTATAGCACACATTTCAAAGTTTCAGTCTCACACATATTGATTATTATTGCTGTGTAGCTTAGGTATACACAAACACACCAACAATCTGGAGCGCCTAGAAAGGAAAGCCAGTATATTAGAGAGTGACTGGTCCTCCTGTTTCAGGTCAAGTTTTTTAAGCCTAAAACATTAAAATTTCCTTTATATTCTCAGTAATCAGACTTTTAAAAACCCTGATAACATTAACTCAAACATTTACACGCAGATGCGAACATTTGGATAAGTCTTAAAAAGACCAACTAAACTTTAACCTCCAATTTGTAAAAATACATATTCTTTCACATAAATGGAGACACTTTAAGAATAATCAGTAAACTACTAACCTATGTTTGGGGGAGAGTTATTGTTGCCAAACAGAAGGATACTTATAAGGCTAAGCAGAAAGTGAAGCACATCTGAAATTGATAATTACTTCTTCAGTGATTAACTCAGGAGAGTTTTGTTAACACTGTAGCCCCCAAAAATACAATCATTATTTTGGAAATATAGGCTCCCTTATGACCACCCACCTCCCCTGCCTTTGACATTTAAAAATAAAAGCGCTACGGAATATGTTGGTGCTATATAAATGGCAGTAATAGATAATAGTACTGGTAGTACTGGGACTCCACTCATAGAGAAGCAATGGATTGGAAATAGACATGTGCAGTAAAACATTGCACTCCTCCAATGAAATGCTGCTATTAGCAGCATTTTATTACTGGGCTGAGTTTTATAGGGTTATTTATTAAAGGCAGAATTCAACGTGAATTTAAAGTGAATTTCAAATTTAAGGCCATAATAGTTGAACTGGAAAAATTCAGCTCAAAAAAGGCAGCTATGCTTCCAGTTCAGCTACCTAAGCTTTAAATTTGAAATTCACCTTAGTGAATAACCCTGTAAAATCGGTCGGGGGGGAGAAAGAGCCTCTAGTTGCGGTCAGGAAGATAGCCGCTAGAGGTGTATTTAACCCCGCAACGCAGGAAGACGGCCGCTAGAGGTGTATTTAACCATGCAACGCAGGAAGATGGCCGCTAGAGGTGGATTTTACCATGCAACGCAGGAAGACGGCCGCTAGAGGTGGATTTAAGCATGCAACGCAGGAAGACGGCCACTAGAAGTGGATTTAACCATGCAACGCAGGAAGACGGCCGCTAGAGGTGGATTTAACCATACAACGCAGGAAGACGGCCACTAGAGGTGGATTTAACCATGCAAAGCAGGAAGACGGCGGCTAGAGGTGGATTTAACCATGCAACGCAGGAAGACTGCTGCTAGAGGTGGATTTAACCATGCAACGCAGGAAGACGGCCGCTAGAGGTGGATTTAACCATGCAACGCAGGAAGACGGCGGCTAGAGGTGGATTTAACCATGCAACGCAGGAAGACTGCCGCTAGAGGTGGATTTAACCATGCAACGCAGGAAGACAGCCGCTAGAGGTGGATTTAACCATGCAACGCAGGAAGACAGCCGCTAGAGGTGGATTTAACCATGCAAAGCAAACATTACAGTTTCTAAAAAAACTTCAATGTTTTACAAGGCAGGGCTAAAATGATGGGACCACTGCATCTAGACCACTTCATTGAAATCAAGTGGTCTGAGTGACTCTAGTATTGATGGCACCCAGAGGACTTCTTCTTCAATGAAGTGGTATTGGTGCAGTGCCCCTGTCTTTTAAAACCTGCAATGTAAAACATAACCGTTCTGTAGGAACCTTATGTTTACATTGCAGGGTTATAGGAACACTCCAGGAACCAAAACAACTTAATGTAACTGAAGTTGTTATAGTGCCAGGAGGTGGAACGGTTTAACCCCTAAGATGCCTCCAGCGCAAGTCTCCACTCTTCCCCTGGTGGCTTCCGGCTTCTGAATTTTAAGATTCAGGAAGCGCGGAGTGCTGCCGAGTAGAGGCGCCGCTGATTGGTTGAGAGCGGTCAGAATAAGCTCTCAGACAATCAGTGACTCCCCATTCACTATGCTGGCTTGCAAAAGGTACATTTCTGCTAAGACTGTCAGGGTCAGTCAGTAAAGTGAGAAGTCCAGAACAGCCGAAAGCATAGCTGACTTAGAGAATATTTCCAGTTCAGCTATTTAACCTTACGTTTACTTTGCATTCAGCTTGAATTCTCACTTTATTGAATAACCCTGTAAGTACCAGAGCTCTGTCAGATTTATTCAGAAATACTCTGAATTTTAGTGAATTAAAGTTGAATTGTATAATTCAGGCTATATTTGTGGATTTGGAGAAATTGTATATAAGAAAAAGTACATGCCCAAAAGGTGCTGCCAACTTTAATTTTCATTTACTTTTTTTTCCATCTAGACACAAAATTCAGTGTTTAGTGAATAACTAATGACAGGTTTAGTTCAGATACCAGTAATATATGTAAAAAAAAAAAAAAAAAAATTTAAATACAAATGTCCTCACCCCAGGAGTCCCCATAGGTGGGTTCTCTGATATCTGAAGACTATCAGGAGAAATATCTGGATTTTATCAAGTAGATAAAAAGTATAACTTTATTT